TGTTATATCAAAAATCTTGATGAATCCTAGATCATTTTACTGTTGTACATTGATGATATGCTAATTAGAGGATCTAGCATAAATGAGATCAACATGGTTAAGCAACAACTGGCGAAGGAGTTTGAAATGAAATACTTAGTACCGGCTAAGCAAATGCTTGGGATGAGGCTTAGCAGAAACAAGTCTGAAGGAACCTTAAAATTGTCTCAAGAAAAATACATACAGAAGGTATTAAGCATGTCCAATCTGCATGATGCAAAGACAAGAAGCACTCCACTCGGAAGCCCTCTTAAGCTTTCGAAGAACCAATCACCTAAGATAGATAAAGAACGGAAGTACATAACCAAAGTTCTATATGCTTTAGTAGTAGGAAGTTTGATGTATGTTATGGTTTGTACTAGACCTGACATAGCCCGTGTAGTTGGAATTGTCTGTAGATATATGTCAGATCCAGGAAGGAGCATTGGGAAGGTGTAAAATGGATATTACGATATCTCAATGATACCTCAGGTATGACACTTTGTTTTAAAAGGAAAAATATTATCTTGCAAGGTTTTGTTGATGCAAATTTAGACAACGATCTGGATAGTTAAAAAAGTACCACATGCTACGTGTTCACCTTGGGTGGTACTGCTGTTAGCTGGATGTCGAGAATTTAGAAAAGTGTTGATGTATCTACCACTGAATCAGAGTACATGGCAATCTCAGAAGTGGAAAAAAAGATGATTTGGCTCAAGAATTTTCTTAAGGAGCTAGGTAAAGAACAGGACAATTATGAGCTTTTCAGCAATAGCTAGAGTGCAATTCATCTTGCCAAGAATCTAGTATTTCATGCAAGATCAAAGCACATCCAATTGAGGTATCATCATATCCGAGAGTTGATAAGTGAAGGAACTCTTTTCCTACAGAAGATACTAGGATCAAAGAACCCGTCAGACATATTGACCAGAGTTGTCGGTGTTAACAAACTTCAAGACTGATAGCGTGAAGGCGCCACCCGAGAATAGCAAACTATTTTTTAAAAAATTTCCTTCTTGATGTAACATATATTTTAGGGGGAGATTGATAGGAGCAAACCTGTTATTGTATGAGAAAGAAATAAAAGTAGACAAAACAAAAGGAAAAAAAAAGTCAAAGAGAGAAGAAAAATGATAGGTGGGAGAATTCATCTTTGAATTCTTTTCTTATGACGTAATGCTTACGTCGGCAGGTTGAATTTCTTTGTCTTATGACGTAAGTGGTTACGTATACATGTTAAATTCTTTTTCTTATGACGTAAGTACTGTCATGGGTTGCTTTCCATCATCGACCCATGACCCCTTGGACGCGTCTCGTGGCGTCCCGGCAAGCCTCCCAACGCCTAGCANTAATAGCTTTCATCATCATAAATACAATCATCAGCTTTCATCATCAATTGCTCATTTTCCGCTGCTCAATTGCTCATGACATTGGTTTTTCCGTACGGCACTGACAATCTAGTCTAGCGTACGGCGAGGACCTCAGTTGGCGCATAGCAACCGCACTGACATCGGTTGCTTAGCCTTACGTCGCCCTTCCAAGGAACTTCAGGAAGGCGCCGCGTAACAGTACTTACGTCGGCAGGGCATTCAAATGCCTATAAAATGGGTCTGCATTTTTATTTGTAGATCATTCCTCAACTTCCTATTTCTCTTCAATTAACATAGAGCTATTCATAGTGTGGTCGAGGAATAGGCAAAAATTACCGAACTACGTAAATCTTATTTTGTCTTATCTTGTGCAATTTATTACTTTTCTCTTTTAACTATTTTTCCTTTCTATTAGCTTGACATGCTTCCCAACAAAAAGGCTTGGTGAGAAAGTTGGGAGTCTTGAACCGCTGCTTTAAGCGGAAGCCTCAAAATTAAGCTCCACATATGAGCCTCAAGATATTTTGCAAGTACACCTGCTAAGAGAGAACCTTGGACGATCCCAAAAAACTTTTTAAAACACTAGATTAGGAAAAGAAAAATCAAAGTAATAATAAGAGAACTAGTTTTAGGGAAAAAATTGGGATTCGATCAATTGTTTTTCTCATCCACAGCCCACCAGCTTAGCTGAAACATTGTGTTTGAAAGCAGGTGCGGATGTATAGTTTGGCCGTCGGGTTCATCTGGATCCAATATTTTCGACGTATAGCGTAAATTTATGTGTAAAGATTTATTCATATTGTAACAAATGACATGTCTGAACCCATAACTTTAAAAATATAATGAATTCAATATTAAAAATCTTAAAAATTGAATCCGTAGAATCTAAATATTGGATCCGGCTCTATTTGAAAGCTTTGAAAATAACTAATGAAACATAAAGGAAAAATGTAAAAGATAAAATTGAAAGCGATTGTAGAAAAGTGACCAGTTTTATGGAACTCTACCCAGCCGAAGAATTGAGTTGTTAATTAAGCGTCGGTGCGAGATGGGTCCAGAGTTCCATTCGCTGGTCAAAGTTCGGATATAGTCGAGGTTAAAGTCAGTATCTTCCGTTCGAGACGCGGAGGAGGTCATCAATATAGATGACATAACTTGACAAGTACGAATTATATTTTTTTTTTTTTGGTGTGATTTGAGGGTTATTATATAATGAATGATTTATTCAGTGTGTACAGAGTACTCACTCAAAGGTTAGAGGCCGTGGCGGTTATTGTTTTTTTGGTTCCAATAGTCAGTATCTTGAAAGAAAAATTAATGGCAATGCCCATTGCCCATGCGGTAAAAGGTAAGCATCCGTAAAACTTAATTTTTTTTAAAAAATATTATGTACTATAATTTATATTTATTTAGGAAAATATATTTTCAAAAAATCAAGTAAGTATGTACGGTGTAAAGTTCTTGGGGTATACAATTCATACATTATATTTAATAATATATGACAAGGTGATTTAATTATTTTTACTGTTGTATACTTTGAGAATATGTAATTATGTTACGATGAAGATACACGACAACAACAATAAATCCGATGTAATTTACAAGTAGGGTCTGCGGAGGGGAGTGTATAACATACCTTACGCTTATCTTTAAGAAGACAAAGAGGTTGTTTCCGGAAGGCTCTGAAGATATACAACATACAAAATTATATTGTATAACTTTTTAATGAGCAAATTTCATAAATGGGTACGAGCAGGTAAATTTTTACCCACATGGAGTTTGAAATGCAAGAGACAATAAATATACTGCTATTTAGGGATAGGCATAAAATCCGAAAAATCGAATTCCGAACCGAATTAATTTGGTATTTCGATATCGGTGTTTTTCGATATTTCGATATACTTCGATACAGAAATTGTGATATTTTGATACGGTATTCGATATTGAGTTTTTAATATTTCGGTATACCGAAATATTTAAGTTTAAGCCCAACTCTGTTTCTATTTTCTAGCCCAATAAACTTAAGCCCAACACCCTAAGCCCCTAATTCCCTAATCCCTTAGCGCCTCTTTAGGCTTAGAGACAGCAAAGTTTTCGGAAAAAAGCAAAATTGCTATCTGCAAACATTGGTGTACACTTAATGTACTTGAAGTATTTAACTTGTGGATGAAACTTCTTGGTTTCAAGAGTAAAATAATTGGGCGTGAGGCATGACTGCAACAGATAAAAATTGAAACCAAAGAAATAAGTCCAAGAATCACACACAAAGATCTCCTTTCATATTTTAAAGTGTGATTAGCATTATTAGATACAAGACGGAAAGGAAATTTCATGGATGAGGTAGCAAATAAGGTTATAAAATATAAAAAAAAATATATATATATATATATATATATACAAGATTCCAAAAATCTAAGCAAAAAAAGACTTTTTTCAATGAGTATGCTTGAGATTCATTGAAAACAATAGATAAGTCAATATACAAAAATTGAGTAAGATTAGAGGTGATTTGGATTGATTTGGTATCAAAATTCGTAGTTAAAATCGAGTTCAAAAAATTCTTCAGCGACACATGTATCACGCATGTATCTCACACACACGTATACATGGATATACATGTGATACATATTTGATACAAATATGATACATTTGTGATATACCTATCATTTTTTTCATGTTCGTCTTCTACTTTAAATTTTCAATTCAAACCACCTCAAAACTCCATCAAATCATCCCAAAACTGAGATTAAAGCTCCTTAAGATATACCCAATCTATTCTAATAATACCCACTCAAAAGAAAGGGAGATGTAAGCATGTTATTTCAGAAATGAGAAACATATATATTTTTGTATGAAGCAGTAAATTAAGCTAAAAAGTAGAAAATGCCTTCAATGTTAAGATCCTGCTACTTAATTCACCAAACTAACTACATTCTGTAAATGTAAGGGGAATCTTGGTATAATTGGTAAAATTATTGCCATGTGACCAGGAAAGAAGGTCACGGGTTCAAGCCGTGGAAACAACCTCTTGCAGAAATACAGAGTAAGACCGCGTACAATGAACCATTGTGGTCCGGCCCTTCCCCGGACCCCGTACATAGAAAGGAGTTTAGTGCACCGGACTGCCCGCTAATGAATCCGATCCCCTACTTTGCTGGGACTAACACTTTCCTAACCTGAAAACTAACCTTATAGTTCATCCATTGTACTTGACAAGCATCTCAAATTTTCCGAATTTAATCTGTCTGAGCAAAATTTAGCTCCCAGTTTGAAACTAGTAATTTTCATCCTGCCAAATACGAAAGGCACAAAGGTTCTTGGCAAAAAAGATATCTTCATCAGAATTCAGAAGCAATATTGGCGTTTCAACAGTGGTTAGTTTTGTATAGAATGATTCCACATGGTCACAACAAAGAGCTAATATTCACATTGTAAGTGCAAAACAGGGAACTAAATTTGACATCAAGTACTAATCAAGGGCAAAATGATAGCCCGGTGTACTAAGCTCCCGTTATGTGCGGGGTCCGGGGAAGGGCCGAACCACAAAAGTTTATTGTACGCAGTCTTACCTTGCATTTCTACAAAATATTGTTTCCACTGCAAGAGCTAATATTCACAATACAACAATAATTTCCAATCAGTAAAGAGTTGGAAAAAGACATTTTATTCCATTGAAAGAGAGAATCACCTAGTCAATTCGAGAGAACTGCACAAGTGAAACCATCGTTCACAAGCTTGATAATGGCATCTCGAAACCTATAATAATCCTCGATGGTATTGTAAACTTGATGGGAGATCCTAGCATAACCTGTTATCGGATTTACCTCCCCTTCCAATGGCGCCCTGTAATATATCGGAACCTCAACCTTGAACGAAACCCTCAAATAAGTCCTCAACTTCAAAGCATCCGAATCACTAGAAACCCCTAAACATGCAGGCATTCCAACCATGGCCATACTCGAACACATTTCTGATGGCGTCCCCAATTTCGTCCCCCACGCCTTCACCAACATCTCCGCCATTTCAACAACCTTATCATGGTTCCTTCTCCTAATTCCCTCAATCCCGCCTTCAAACCTGTTCACAAACTCCACTACCTCCGGAATCACCAATTGTGCACTATAATCCCTCGTCCCTATCCAAGCACTCTCGATTGGCAACCCGTTCCCATACTCATTCGATACCACAGGATGATGCAAATCCAATAC